GAAGACTTTTCGAAATACTTTCTTGGAATGTACTTGTCGATTTTTATTCCTTACCTAAACCACCCTGTATTTTGAAAATGGTGCAATTTTGGACTGAAGTAAGTTGCTTCAAATCAGCTCATTTTGACCTAAGAAATATGTGCTAATAGTTTGTACAGACCTTCTAGGGACACCCTGTAGAACAATTATTGAGAGAGTTTCTGCAGAAGGTTACTGCAAAATTTATTTTTTATTCCAGATATGCACATTGCACACCCTGTTATATCTTCCCTAAAATCAGATTCTCTTAAAGATACGCAAACAGCTTTATTGATATCGTGTTAACACAAAATCTGAAAAAGCAAAATGACATGGATCCATAAAAATTCCGCTAAAATCTACGATATTGGAAATTTTCACCCGCCTCCTATTCTTCCCCAATAGGACTGAACGCGCTCTCAAAATAACCCGCCCTTTATATCAATCATGTGTGTTGCGTGTAAACCATCTCCCTTGGACAACTCGTGGTCGACCTCTGGGCACCAGAGGGTTTTATTGTGTATTTGTATGTTAGTTATGTTACCTTGTTACCTATATTAGGTTTTATATATACACACATACATGTTAAACATTCTTAAGTTGAGAAATAAATGTATTGAATAGGATACTTTCAAGAGGAATCATCGACTTGAATGTGAATTTTTTCGTCTATATCTCAAGGCCATTGAAATTTTTCTATCAATATATCTCACCACCTTATTAGGTATCAACTTAGGGATAAATCATAAATGATACAATCGTAGGTTATTCATTTGTATTTAATCAATAGATATGAACATCAACACAAGTTGAGAGTACAGTATATGAATAATTCACACGGGAGCGTATATGACAGATATAATCCTCAAGATTAGATAATAGAGACAGTTGACATTTCACTTAAGACCTCAGATCATTAACAGTACAAGATCATGAAAGACACAACACACCTCTGTACTATCGAAAGATTTGTTAGTACACTGGGAAGGGAAAAAATTGCTGGGATTGTAAAATCAAGGCTGACGGGATTATGTCCTTTGAGTGTTTGCAGAGAAACTGCAGAGAATGAAAAATCGAAAATAACAATCAATATATCTTCGGCAAAATTATAAAAGGAGATTGCAATTTTTATTTTCAAATATAATATCTGGTTCAAATCGTAACTCATGATTCATGAATATTTTGTCCTATCCGCCCCCCTCCCCCTTCCATTTTTCCTTGCGGCGCCCATGGGCGATACGGAGAATAATAATTTTGTTGATTGCTTCGCCTTCGCCAGAACGGCAGATGTAGTCATAGTCAACCACCAACACAAAACCCAACTCTCGCATGTTCGTGTTCAGCGTAAAAACCATTCGCCAGCCTAGAGACTCGACTTACAGAATAGATAGCGACAGCAGGAAACAAGAGCTGTGTTGCCGCTTCTAAAGAAAATCTGTAGGTCAGAGAAAGTTAATCTATAACGGTACTTATGAAAATTGCGATTGCCCATTGCCCAAGCCCTGCTGAACAGTGAAAACTACCTACATATCAGCTATTAGTGTACGATTCGTTGAAGTTTTAAACAAATAAATATACATCAGGGTGTAATACATGGACGTATATATAAGTATGTCATAATGTTTAAATGGTAATTCTGCAAATGAAAATAAGAAAAAATGTTCCTATCAACAGGTACCGGAAAATGCTACCCTAGGACTCTAGAGCACATTGAAGATAGTTCCTTGAAAGCAGTTTTCTTTGATTATCTTTGTTTTCGCAATAATCCTACGATACGGGAAACATGATTTATTATACAGGGAGGTGCGAAATTCGTGACTGATGCTCTGAAAATGCCTCAAGTTTTTTTGTTTAAAGAATTGCCTCATTTTTACTACCAGAATATGATTATCCAAACACAATTATATACATAAAAAGTTTCCTTGTTAGAATGCCGTAAAACGAATAGTTTCCGAGAAAAGTGTCATTTTCCATTTTGACGTTCAAAAACATTCAAAATGATTTTGAGCGTGCGTTCTCAGTTCTTATGATAAAAAAAATAGAACTTGAGAAAATATCCGCGATGGTGATTGATTGAATTTTACAAACTTATTCACTAGGTAAGTTTTTTGGACATATCTAAATGAAAAATTACCCTCGTCTCGGAAACGATTCATGTTGCGGCATTCTAACAGTGAAACCTTTTTTCATAAATATGAATGCTTGAACAATATCATATTCTGGTATGGTAAACATGAGATGAATCTTGTAACAAATAAAGTTGCGTAATTTTTTGATAGCATCGGCCGTACCACGAAACGATTTGTATGGTCGAAACAAGACCTGAATTCAAAGGGCTTCAGCGCCGTTAAGAAGCATTTTCGCACACATATTGATGGGAACATTTTTTCTTATTTTTATCTGCAGAATCACCTCCCGGAGTATACAAACGTTATTCTGGGACACCCCTTATAAACTTGTGTCCGGAAATGTTTGATACAGGATGTTGCAATTGATTATTTCTTCACTTTTTTTTATTACTTTTACAACAAACTTCGAAAATAGTACAGGGTGGGCTGTGGGTGGTCAAAATTGGGCGTTTCACAGGCTATCTCAATAACTAATGGAGTTATATCGAGAAAACGATATTCGATATACTGGGTGTCATTAAAATAAGTGCAAATATTTCAAACACTGAGTAAGCTCGACATGTACTATCGAATGGCACTAATAAAAAAAATTTCCTCACCCAAAGTTCTACACTGTGGCAAATCTGACGTCACCTCTGTTCAAATTTCCATGCGATAGGCAAAATCACGCGGAGTACGACAAGTGGCGTACTTGATTTTTTTCTCGTATTTTGTTCAATTTTTGGGATGAAATATCTCGTTAATTAGAAGAATTAGAAAAAATCTGATTGTGCTGAATATGTGCACTTATTTCAAAAACACCTTGTTTATTGATTTTCCCATATAATAACCCATATACTAATAATAATAATTATGACTTGTCTCTCGATATAACCAAACCATTGCATAGCTATATTTATAATTTGTATTTTCATCTTAAAATCATACAGACGATGATTTTTTGAGAATGGAAAAATCTCTGAACACTAGAATATTGAGACTTGGCCTAACATACCTGATATGAATGTTGCTGGTTCAGGAGATAGAGGGTGTTCTGGGGGGGAGATTATATTTTAAAATGTCTCTATAACTTTGTAAGTTTCAACAGCATGAACATGAAAACTTGTAGTTTCAGGTTTTCTCACATGATTAATACGAATTTGCAACTCATTTCGTGGTTGCTCATACATATGGCGCTAGTGGCACTCTGTTACTTCATTGAATCAAAATAGATGATCAAGATGAGTGAAAAATCTGAATAAAGCTTGTTCAGTTTTGAATGAGAAAGGTACTCTGTTTCAAATTGTCTAGCTGTGACGGTTTTTGTCTTATTCGCTCTTGAAAAGATTTGTGTTCCACTTACAACATTTCAATAATTTTATTTATTAAATTAAGAATGGGAAATCCCTGAACTACGGATAGCAAACACCAAAATATGAAGATTTAACCCAAAATGCTTTATAGAAATGTTGCAGATACAGAGTGTTCATGAAAACATTTTACTTCAAAACTTTATTCCTTTACTTTGGTCGAACATTTACCTACTATAAAATTCTGTTTGTTGTTGGCTTGTTAGTCATCATCGGTTGCCTTTTTTTATCTACTATCACTTCGCTAACTTTATAATGAATTGAAATTATTTTAAAATGTTATGAAGTGGATCATAAATCTCTTCAAGAGCGAATAACATAAAAACAGTTAGAGCTAGACAATTTGGAAGTAAAACACTTTCTGTATAAACTTGAACGAGCTTTCAGATTTTTCATTTGTTTTGATCATCATTGGATGAACAAGGAAGATATGATGTAATTTACCACAAGTAACAGCGCCCTGTATGAGCAATCACAAAATAAGTTGAAAATTCGTATTCCTCATGTCAAGTCATTTCAAAATGAAATCTATCTCTCATAAACCAGTGGAACAAATATTCCTATGATTTCAGATTTTTTCTAATTCTCTTATGATTTTGCCTACCGCACGGAAATTTGATAGAGGTGAAAAAGGGGTCTCATCCCAAACTTTTTCATCCCTAATATTTTTCATTGGTGCTTCCTCAGAGGGTGTGAAATATCTACACTCATTTCGAGGTCACCCTGTATACACGAGAATACCTACAATATTATATATAAGGTAGATAGGTAGGTAATACACTATAATACCTATAATACCATTAATACCTAGCTATTTATTGAGCAGCTACGTGTCCTATACGTGCTAAGTATATTGAAACTATGTTAACCGGAGATGTAACTGACTGTTTTTGTGTGAACATGCATCACGTAGGTATTAAGCATACGCGGATACGAGGTCACGCCTCACACACGTCATAGCAATAGTAATGAATCAGAGAACAACGGTTTCACGACGCTTTCAGGGTCTCTTATCTGTTTCATTCAGCATTTATTTACAGGTGGTTCTTATTTTCAGAATTTCACCGCCCGTCCTGAAATCCGAACAGCAGTCTGCATTTCCATCTCGCCTCGGGATCATACAATCGACATTTCGACTATCTCGAGACTTGGCAACGCGGCAGGGGAATGTCAGTCTCGCTGGGCCGGGCTTGGGGAAACATCAGAGACAATCGAGGCCACGTCGGTGCTGCCGCTTTTCCAACCACGGCGAACCTGCCAACTAAGCTACAGCACGCCAGCTTAGCAGTGCTAGTAGTGATCAGCGATAGGTATGGCCACCGCGAAAGATACGGCTACGTTTTTCACCCACGGCACCTGTCAACAATTCGAGCAGGTCCTCAAATTGTATCCGCAAGCCCTCCGACTGAAAGCCGACCGAAAAGCCAAAAAACCGGAGGAGCTGATAAAATTAGACAATTGGTAAGTGATCCAGTGTTGTGTCATTGAACCCTGCTAATGTGTTCACCGTCTAAGTCGTCGAGTGAATAGCTTTAGCACCCCCGCGATATCTTTCTCTGACGGTCATTAAAATCACGCTCGTCACGTGGTAATCGATGACAACTGCAGCATGCTCTTAAACCCAAATAGTTGCATTTTCGACGGTGATATTTCGCGTTGCTATGTGGCGTCATGGCCTCGTCATTTTCTTATGCAAACCTATTAATTTTTGAACTGGGAGCCTATATCACATTCTAAAACTCTTCTTGATACATTCTCTTACTAATTGAAATGAATATTAGTGTGTGGTTTTATGTGAATAACTGGAAATACTGATGGTATATCCGTAAAACATGCTGTGTAATCTACGTGACTTTCAAAATGGTGTCTGTTCAAACAAAGCACTGTGTGTTGGCTGTGAATTCACTCGGTTCTTCATTGTTTCACCACCGTTTTTTTGAGGAAAATCATACAACAATCGACGAATAGTCCTTGTTGTTGTTTACATTTTAGATATCGCGCGTTTTCATACTTTAAATTGATTGATCTTGGCCGAATCACTGTCACGGTTGATGGGTAGAGGGGATCTCTATTGAAATATTGAAGTCGATGTGGGTTGAATGTAATTTTGTTATAACTACCTAGCATATTTTCCTACTTCGTGTATTCAAAATTCACGTTTTTGATTGTACCATTGATGTTATGGAGCAGTTTATTTTAATTTTCAAAGGTAACTGCCATATATATAGGTATAATTAAATACCTATTGGTAAGTAGGTATTATGGAAAATTCCCACATGACTGATAGGTACTATGGTTGTTCAGAGTAAGTACCTATTTCTTCATTGGGAAATCTGGCATCTGATTTTTTTGTAAATCTTTTTATGTTGGAAATATAGGAGTGTAGCCACCCCACCTACACCCAAAGCAGGTGCCGCCTATGAGGTTGGCAGGTTGATAGGTACACTTCTTTCTATTGGCAAAGTTTACAGAATTTAATTCTGTAAACTTTGCTATTGGTATTACCTAGGTACCCTCGGTCAGGGGCGGCGAGTGCATGGGGGCATCGGGGCCAATGCACCCATGTAGGCAGTGGGTATGGGTGCAATGCACCCATTGGCCGAAACAGACGTATAAAAATACAAATTAGATACGGGCGAAATGAGCACTTGTAAATATTGCACATTGTTGCTGGACAAGTATAGGTAAACAACCATGCGAACCGTATATTCGATTCATGTGCATCCAGGGTTTGACACTGTGCACTGTGCAGATATTCCGATTTAAATTTTAGACATTATAACCTCACAGGTTACAAGTGCCAGTTTGGAAAAAAATAGAAGTGGCTAATGAATCCATTGATAATACAGTCAGTAGGAATACCTTTGCAATAAATTAACTGGGGTTACTTGCTAATTTTTTCGAATCCCGAAGTTTCTCTATTCCATTTTTTGAGATATGAGAATTATTAAATCTTATTTTATTTTTGTAGAGATTGAATTTTCTAATATCGTTTTAAATTTTGAGCTATGTTCACTTTTTTCAATGGTGAAAAAAAAATTCTTCTATTTCTCATCCTTGTTCATATTAATATATCAACCATAAACTCGAAACCCGATTAGTCACAAAATATTATATTTTGGTAGAGGTGTTTCACACTTGATGCAAAATAAATAATGCTTTGATCTATCTTGAAATTTGATGGCATTTGACCTTGAACCATGAAAAATTTTCGCCTGCGGCGCATAATTTTGTCTTACCCTGACCCCTCAATTTTGGCACCCATTGGACAAAACAAAACTCGCCGCCCCTGCCCTCGGTACCTTATTAATACTCACGTTTAGGTAGGTACGAGGGTAGGTATAGCTAAGGTATACCTTCATTATCACAATTTAATTTCACATTTCAACTTCAAGTTTCCAGAAAAATATCCGATTATTGATAATAATTATCCCAATCACTATTGAATTATTTGTTACCTACCTCGGGTGACTCGGTTTTAATGGTCCAGGATTGATTATTTCGAAAAGTTTTTTTTTTTGAAAAAGTTCACTGATTTTTTTTCTCAAAAAATGTATCAGTTTCAGATTAGTATTTTCAAGTTATACCTAGGTAGCTAAGATGCAGAGTTGAAATATGATTTTTATATTATTCCAGGTAGGTAGGTATACTTAATCATTCCTGAAATAAAAAACTACTTCTACCTGGACTTCCACAGAAACCTATACCTTCATGTTTAAATCAAGAATTTTATGAGGATTCTTACATTTTTTGATGAATCGATTTTGAACCCTGAAATTGGGTATGCTGAAATTGCAAATATTCCTCGGAAAATGCATAGTGTATGTAGATACATATCCTCCACTTGAAAATTATCAACATTGTCCACACATTAACAGACCAATAAATAGGTGGGTGAGTAGCTGTTGAAAGGTATAGACCTCGGTGTAGACATGGCATAGCTAGGTATTTCCAGGTATTCCTTCACACCCGAGTACAGGGTGGCCAACTAAGACTCCAGAGTTCGATTTCTCTGTTGTCTTGAGAGATACAAAAAGAATTCATAAATCAAAATTGAAGTAATAACCGAGCTCCACATTTCAAAATTTCTTTGAAATACACAGGGTGTTCCGTTAGGTCACAGCACATCTAAGCTATGTTTGGAACACCCTATATTTTATTTCATTTTTGAATTCTCCTAGAAGATCTGATTCCAACGACCCATCATACTTAGGGTCTAGCAGTGAAAGTTACTGACATATAGGGTGTGCAAAATCGAGATTTTTCAAGTTCAGGATTTTTTTCTGTCGAAACTGTTCATTATTCGTCAAAACGGTTTACATGTCCCTATCTCAACTTTTTACTCACTATCAATTGGTGTTCAATTGAAATTGATACAAGGTGGTAAAAAAATCTAAATTTATAATTTGTCTCAATTAAATGTCAATTGAACACCAATTGAGAGTGAGTGAAAAGTTGAGATAGGGACATGTAAACCGTTTTGACGAATAATGAACAGTTTCGCCAGAAAAAACTCCTGAACTTGGAAAATCTCGATTTTGCACACCCTATATGTCAGTAACTTTCACTGCTAGACCCTAAGTATGATGGGTCGTTGAAATCAGATCTACAGGGAGAATTCAAAAATGAAATAAAATATAGGGTGTTCCAATGAAAAAAACATAGATTTGATGTGCTGTGACCTTACGGAACACCCTGTGTATTTCAAAGAAATCTTGAAATGTGGAGCTCGGTTATCACTTTAATTTCAATGCAAAACTTTTTTTTGTATCTCTCAAGACAACAGAGGTATCGAGCTCTGGAGTCTTAGTTGGCCACCCTGACCTTCCTACCTCGCTTCCTACCTACTAATAATAATTGTACTAATTGTACCTGCTGCCCTAGTGCCCCTAGCTGTTGTTTTGAATAATTTATTTTGGTTTTTTAACTTTTATTCAGAAAAATACCATGCATTACTCGACTTACTGCAATGAAAGTAAGTTCCTTCTCAAAGTGGTAAAGATTTTTTCAAAGAAAAAACGAAATAACACTAAGTCGGTCGACCACGAAGTTTTATAGAAAAAATTGACTTTCTGTGACTGGTTTCGGCTCAAACAGCCATGTTCAGACACAATACACAGTACTTGTGAAGATATTTGGTTTACAAGGATTATAAGATATTGAGAAACAAACATACCTACCTATAAGGCCACGTGGAAATCACATAATAAAATAAAATGAATGGCTCCTTGATATTTTAATTTTATTTATTTATGTGATTTCCACGTGGCCTTATAGGTATGTTCGTTTCTCAATATTTTATTATCCTTGTGAACTAAATATCTTTACAGGTACTGTGTATTGTGTCTGAAGATGGCTGTTTCAGCCGAAACTAGTCACAAAAAGTCAATTTTTTTTATAAAACTTTGTGGTCGACCGACTTGGTGTTATTTTGTTTTTTCTTTCAAGTTAATTGTGTTCTATGTATCATAACAATGTTATGAATGTTAATTTCTGTAATATTAGGTACAAACTGCTTCGAAGTGGAGTTCCATGTAACACAATGTTTTTCCACCAACTTCAGTGGAATAAAATAAAGTTAGCAAAGAATAATGATTCGAACTACCTACCACCGGGAAAATTTTCGAAATATTCGTGTCCTCAAAAAAAAAATCCAGTAATGATTGAAGTTCTCGTATAAGTGAAACTTTTAAGGTTTTAGGTTGTCCAAATTTGTTTGTTATATGTCATAACAGTCATAAAATACATGTATATTTATCTAAAATGAATATTTCATTAGTTATAATACTCTTATAATAGAATAGATAGTAAAGTTAATATACCGGGTGTCCCAGTATCCAGTATACCTGTTCCAATGAATTATCTCAGCCATTTCGAAAAATAAAAATTCGAAAATTTCATGATCTTCAATTCGTTCAAGGAAACTTCTACTGAGAAAAACAAAAATTGAAAGTCACTTCCGGTATGTCCGGAAGTGACTAACTTTTTTATTTCATATAGCACCCTGTATATTTTTTGCAATTTTTTATCTCTACTCAAAATTACCGTTGTAACGATGCATCACACTTGATATTTTAAATTTGATTTGATGGAGAAAACGACAATTGAAATTTCGAATTGAACGAATTGCAGTAGGCTACAATATTTTTGTAATCTTGATTTTGGATTCAATTTTCAAATTTTCATCTTTTGAAATGGCTGAGATAATCAATTGGAACAGGTATACTGGGACACCCGGTACACTGAATAATAGGTACCTACACAAAATCTCGAAATCATCACCACGACAGTCCTGGAGATGATTTTGTGTATTATTCAGTAGGACTTCTACCAAAAATCAATAGTATACTGATTTCAATAATGTACAGATGTAGATGGCATCTACCTCGGCATCTACTAGATGCACCTCCCTAAGTGATACTGGCGGTGCCCTTGATTTCTTTTTGTTGACGTATTTCTGTTTCCCAATGAAACGTATATCGGGTGGAGCGAATAATTTTGTTTTCAAATATTGTAATTCGACATAAAGATGAATATACTATTTGGTATTTATCGTTATCGATATTATTCCCCAGGCCCAGGCTCAGTCGACAATATAAAACCATATCTCGAAAAATGCTATCCAATATCCATGCGGTGAACTCGATCCCTCGTACAGCAAAAAGAACGGAACACCATGGTTGCCACATATCCAAGACCTTTTTTCCTTTTCATTTTTCTTCAATTAGTTCAGATGAGTAACTTGGTAACTTTGTATCATTGTATACAGGGTGTATCTAAATAACACGGAAAAAAATCAAGGGGTGATTCCTTGTGATATTTCAGGAAATAAAGTTCATATAAACATGTGTCCTAACTTGCTTCGTTTTCGAGATACAGGGTATTAATATTTGCGAGAATATTTCCATGAAAAATATTTTTTCTATATTCATTTCTCAATTGTCTTTTCATCAATTTCAATAAAACGTTGTGGTTTTGTTAATAGTAATATGGAGCTTCTTCTAGTGCAATTAGATTCGAAATAATATTTCCAGTGGCGTCACAGTGGGTAAATTTATCGATATTCATGGTGAATGTCATTGTACAGGGTGATTGACTATGGATTTCTCGACTTCAACAGCTGATATCTCGAAAACGAAAAAAGATATTTGAAATTTGGAAAAAGGTACTTGAATGAGATGTAATTTCGTTCTAGAAAATGTGTTCTCT